CCTGCCTGTGGGAGGAAGGGACTGGAGAGAAGAATTGTAGGGGAGCAGAGCTGTCACTTCATGTCTCACCCCCGTGTCTGCCCTACAGGAGAATCTCAACAAGCTGATGACCAACCTGCGCTCCACTCAGCCCCACTTCGTCCGCTGCATCATCCCCAATGAGACGAAGACCCCAGGTATGCCTCGACTGAGACGGCACCCTGGCAGAGCCCTTGGGTGACATCCACACATGGGAACTGGCAGCGACACTAGCACTCACCTTCACCCTGCTCTCTTCTTGCAGCAGTTTTGCTGCTGCGACCTGGTCCCACCTCAGTGTGGAAACCCCTGTGACCCATACCAGTCCCCTCTACTGGGGAGAATGAGTTTTTCCAGGCTTCCAGTTTGGCTGTGCGTTGACAGTTGGGCTGCCTTGCACCTGTATATGATAGCAGGCACAGATGAGTCTTTCAGGCTGGCTTCTACCATCTGGGGCCAAGGCAGCAGCACTGGTGCTCAACACAGGCCTACATGACAGGGTGACACCCATGTTCAAAACCATGGGCTGATTCCAGAGCTCAGGCCCATGCTGCAGCTCCGTTTCCCGTGTGCTTGTGGGCTGAGTATCTGCTCCATCTTTGTTCTCGCTCACAGGAGCCATGGACGCCTTCCTGGTGCTGCATCAGCTGCGGTGTAATGGTGTCCTGGAAGGTATCCGCATCTGCCGTAAGGGATTCCCCAACAGGATCCTCTACGCAGACTTCAAGCAGCGGTAACTCCCTCTGCTCCCTTGCCCAGCATCCCACACACGTTCTGAAGGGAGACAGACTGCCCTGGCTCTGAACTGCTCCCCAGCTTGTTCAGGGCTGGTCTGAACCACCACAATATGCCCAGTGCATGTACAGTTTGGGATAGCTCTGCTGCTGGCTCTGTGGTGCCAGACGTGGGCAGCTTGGTGACAGACGTGATGAGACAGCAGGGCTGTTGATGTCTGAGATGCTAAATGCAGGGCTGGTGCAGGTGGATGGTAGCAAGGCTCAGGCCTGTCAATCCTGACTCAGATTTCTGACTGCCCTTGGGATCCGTCCCTTTCTCCAGGCTGGTCACATCTACCAGGCTGACCACATCTACCCTGCTTGGCCTGGGCCTGGACCAGGCATGGTGAGGCCAGTGGCCTGCTCCTGGAGTCTTCTCTGTGCTCAGGGACTAAAATCTGGCAAGGTTCCCGGGTGTCTGATCTGCAGAAGCACCCATACTGTGCTCTGGAGCTCCTGGTTCATAGATAGCTCCAGCCTGTGCTGCAGCGACATGCTGCCAGGGGGAACTGGCATGACTGGTGTACAAGGATGGTGATGGTGATTCGAAGATCCGGTAGGAAAAAAACCTAGCAGTACAATGTACACTGTTCAGTGGTCTTCGGGGGTCCCAAGATGAAGGCCCATCCTCTTCATCACGCTGTTCACTGATTGACATTTGTTTCTGTGCAAACTCAGTTCCAGGATCATTTAGATCATGTCCTTCAGGGTGTTTTGCTCCAGTCTTGTTGCTCTCTTGGTGCCTCGTTATCTCTGTAGCTTAGGGCATTTGCCCTCCCAAGGCCGAGCTGTCTGGAGTAGAATTATTTAGGAGTCTCTTTTATCCCCCAATTATCCCAATTATTTGCTGAGAACCAAGACCACTTTTATTCCACTTAATTATTTTGTCTAACGACTAAGTGATAGCTTGTGCCCATGTCCTTCCACTACATTCCTTAATGAGAAAACAGGGATTAGCGTAACAGTTACATCGTTAGATCACTATGCATGCAGAAATACAAGTTACAGTACTAAAGACTACTAAAAACTAGAAAATATTAAGGCTTTTTGTTATAGTTTCACATTTCTTACAATCCCCTCTATCAATGGAGCCACCAGCTCTGTGCTGGGGTTCACTTGCATGTCCTCCCTCTGCTTTGTCCCTGCAGCTACCGTATCCTGAATCCAGCGGCCATTCCAGATGACAAGTTTGTGGACAGCAGAAAGGCCACAGAGAAGCTGCTGAGCTCCCTGGAACTGGACCACTCACAGTACAAGTTTGGTCATACCAAGGTGAGACCAGGCAGCTGTTCCTCCTGTCTCACTGCAGTCCCAGTTTGCTCTCCATGCCCAGCTTGCTCTCTGCCTGGCCACAGCCCTGCTGAAGCCCAGCGCTCTGCAGGCTAAGCATGGCCCTTGAAGCGATTGAGGAGGGCATAGGAAGATGCAGGCTGGGAAGGAACAGGCCTGAGCAGAAGGTCACTGCTGCCTGACCTCATGGCACCCAACACAGCAGCTAATCCTGCCTGCCTGATGAGTTATCTCAACCCTTGAGCTCTCTGTCCTCTCTGCTGTTGACTGTTCTCGCTCTCTTGCCTGCAGGTGTTTTTCAAGGCTGGTTTGCTGGGCATGCTGGAAGAGATGCGAGATGAGCGTCTGGCGAAGATCCTGACCATGCTGCAGGCCAGAATCCGTGGGCACCTCATGCGCATTGAGTATCAGAAGATCATCAGCAGGAGGTAGAGTTGTGAGGGGCAGGGGGAGAGGCAGATCTTTGTGTCTCTCCTTGTTCCTTCTGCACCTTTCAGTGGGTTTGTCCTGTGGGGCTTACCTGTGGCTGGCAGTGCTTGAGTGTGGCCCTGTCCTGGAGGGGTGAAGGCAGACCTGTAAGAGGTCTCGCATGGGCACAATAGGGAGGGTCAGTGTACCTAGGTCATGGGAGCCTTTGGTTTCCACTGAAAGATTCAGAGGAATGCAAAGTGAGGAGAGCTGAAAGCCAGGCCATACCACCCATCCCTCTAGGGCTGTTACAGCATGCAGACAATGTGCCACTCATTCCACAGACTGCCATTTGTCCAGCTGGGGGAGAACAGAGCCATGTCCAGGCCTGCAAAAGCCAAGTCCCTGCTGCAGTGAGGAAGGGACGTGGGGAATCTACACCCACGATGATGTTGTGCTTGTGTCCCTCCAGGGAAGCCCTCTATACCATCCAGTGGAACATCCGGGCCTTCAATGCTGTGAAGAACTGGTCCTGGATGAAGCTGTTCTTCAAGATCAAGCCTTTACTCAAGTCTGCTCAGACTGAGAAGGAAATGGCAAACCTGAAGGAGGAGTTCCAGAAGCTGAAGGAGGCTCTGGAGAAGTCTGAGGCTAAGAGGAAGGAGCTGGAAGAGAAGCAGGTCTCCATGATCCAGGAGAAGAATGACCTGGCTCTTCAGCTGCAGGCAGTGAGTGCCTCACCCCTTCTGTGTAGAGTCCATGGGCAGAAGAAGGAGCAAAGCATGCTAGATTCCTCCTTCGGCCTCTTGCAGTTCTGAGACCCCCTCATTGCCACAACCTGTTTGAATTGCAATGTTAGACTCGGTGCAAGCCTGAAGCAACATCACAGACTTGCCACTTCAGGGCTGCCGCATGGAACCATGCTCCCCTGGCTCTGGAAAGGGTGATCTCCTCACATGGGGGTGGGAGGGATGGCAATGTTTGCGTGCCAGACTGTGGCTAATCTGTGCCATTTCTGTACCAGGAAGCATCAGTCCAGTGTTTTCTTCCTCTGGAAAAATTTAGTTGCAATTAGTTCTTTAGCCCTGGTTAGTGTTAGTGGTTGTGTCATGAACCTTGAAAATGAACAGTGACTGGAGCTGTCTTTTTTTTGTACACCTGAGCACCTCGGGCTTACTCTGCCCCTTCCACAAGGAGAGCTTCCACTCTGGGCTGGGGCAGCATGGCTAAGAGCCTGCTGCTGTGCTCTTGGGGCAGTGGATGAGCACTGGCTCTCCTGTGCCTGTCCCAGGAGCAAGATAACCTGGCAGACGCAGAGGAACGCTGCGACCTGCTGATCAAGTCCAAGATCCAGCTGGAGGCCAAGGTGAAGGAGCTGACAGAGCGTCTGGAGGATGAGGAGGAGATGAACTCAGACCTCACTGCCAAGAAGCGCAAGCTGGAGGATGAGTGTGCAGAGCTGAAGAAAGACATCGATGACCTAGAGATCACGCTGGCCAAAGTGGAGAAGGAGAAGCATGCCACAGAGAACAAGGTAACTCACCCTTCCTGCAGAGTACAGCCTTATTGCCCAGGGACCTTGGTGCTTTTGGGGGCACCAAAGAGAAATATCAGGGACAAAGCTGCTGGTGTGTGGGAGCTGGGGCAAGGCAGAGTGCAAAAAGGTGTGGGACAGGGCAAACCCCTCTGGTGTCCTGCCTCATTGCACGGGATCGGTATGGGCAAACGGTTTTGTGCAGTGGCAAGTGGTCTGGGACACTGGCAAAGCAGCTGGTGGAACCAGCCTGGCCAAGGGAAGAGGGTCTGGCAGCTGCTGCGGTGCCAAGCTGCTGTTGATCATGGACGCCTGCCTTTCATGGGCCAGGCTGCTGTATTAGCTTTGCTCCCCCTGTTTCTGAGAAGAGGTGCTTAATTTTCGACCTCACTTGTCTAGGTTAAAAACCTGATTGAAGAGATGGCTGCTCTGGATGAGATCATTGCCAAGCTGACGAAGGAGAAGAAAGCCCTGCAAGAGGCCCATCAGCAGGCTCTGGATGACCTGCAGGCTGAGGAAGACAAAGTCAACACACTGACTAAAGCCAAGGTCAAACTGGAGCAGCAAGTGGATGATGTGAGTCATGGACCAGTGACAGTGGAGAGGTTTGAGCCAACCTCCAGGAGAGCCGAAAGGCTGTCCCTTAACGGTATCTGGAGAGTGGGATCGTTATCAGATCCCAATTTAATATGTCCAGTTGATGAATAACCCCACTGACAAACTGCCCCTGAGCCAAGAGGTGGTCCAGAGTACCCCATGGAGAGCAGTTCTGGGCTGAGGGAATGGGTCTGGAGACCAGCTAGGAAACAACGCTGGATCTCAGGGCTGGGTGACGTGCCCACAGCAATGGACATTAGGAAGGTTGGGGCTAGAGAGAGTCCTTTCCCTCCCTAGCCTGTCTCCCTTCATTCTCCAGCTGGAAAGCTCTCTTGAACAAGAAAAGAAAGTCCGCATGGACCTGGAAAGAGCAAAGAGGAAGCTTGAAGGAGACCTGAAGTTGACACAAGAGTCTGTAATGGATCTGGAGAATGACAAACAGCAGCTGGAGGAAAAACTCAAAAAGTGAGTGTGTGATACGTGGCTGGACTGCATGCTTACTCCGCTAGAACAGTGTCCACCTCTAAATCAAGTGGACATCTGGCCTCTGCAGGGGCTCTTGGGATGTGGATTTGAGCACTGCTGGTGTGATCAGTCCAGGCAAAATGCGGGCTTGGCTTTCCTGGGCACTACGCAGAGGTGCTGAGGAGCTTGTCAGCTGCGCACACAAATAGATCAGGGCACTACAGAGCTTCTTCTGTACATGGGGTTGGAGAGGAGAGACTTCCCTGGCAGAATCCTCACACAGAGGTGGGATGTACAGACAAGTACGGACTTCATCACTCATGTCCCATTCTCATTGGGGAACCAGAGACCAGCACCTAGGGACCTCACAGGGAAAACCTCAGAGCCAGAGTCCACTTTAAGCTTCACTCAGAGCAGTCCATGTGCTGCTTCTTACCCCTGCAGTCCCTTTTCTGTGTGGGTTTGTTTGTTTGTCCTCTGGTCCTGGGTGCAGGGAACAATCTTCTTCTGGCTTCAGAAGCCAGAGTGACCTGAAGCCAGAGGGACTTGGCAGGGCAGCGTTTGTCTGACCAAAGGCTCTGGCTGCTTTCTGTACAGGAAAGACTTTGAAATGAGTCAGCTGAATTCAAGGATTGAAGATGGGCAAGTGACTGAGGCCCAGCTGCAGAAGAAGATCAAGGAGCTCCAGGTATGGTGGGAAGAACTGTTCTCACTGTCCAGGAGTCCTAAATTTCTGTCAGGTGTAACGTGCTGGGGAATCTGCATGGGCTAGTCCCTCTCTGAGCACAGGGGCATGTCCTTGGCAGAAGAGTGATGAAAAAAGCTGGCACTGATAGCAGAAGCAAAGCCCTCTGCTAAAGTGTGGTGGACTGAAAATTAAAGAATGAACTATTGAGGTAAAACCTTAAATCCAGCGCCCAAACTCTGAAGATTCAAATTTACTATATTGGGCTTCTTCCTAGCAGAGACGGGCCCCCGGGTTGAGGCTGTTTGCATGGAGGTTCCCGCTGAAGGGAGGCTGGTATCAGCCTGGCTGGTGGTGGCAGGGTACAGAAGAGAGCAGGAGCTCTGCAAAATGGGCTACCAAGGAGCACCAGGCATGTCTGCCTTGGAGAATCCGAAAATAGCCCAAGCATTTGCTCCAGGCTGGTGGCTTGTCACTCCCCAGCATCAGAGGAGACGCTTTGCTCCATTGCAGGGAGCAAAGATGCTGGAGCTTCAGCAGAGTACTGCTTTAACTTCAGGTTAATGGCCTCGAGTTGTGTCAGGGGAGGTTTAGATTGGATATTAGGAAAAACTTCTTGAAGCATTGGACCAGGCCGCCCAGGGAAGTGGTAGAGTCACCATCCCTGGAGATGTTCAAGAACCGTGTAGATATGGCACTTCAGGACATGGTTTATCAGGCATGGTGGTGGTGGGTTGACAGTTGGACTTGATGATCTTGGAGGTCTTTTCCAACCTTAGTGATTCCATGACTCTATGATTTTTATTCTGTCTCTGCCAGGCCCGCATTGAGGAGCTGGAGGAGGAGCTGGAGGCTGAGCGTGCTGCCAGAGCCAAGGTGGAGAAGCAGCGGGCAGAAGTGTCGCGGGAGCTGGAGGAACTGAGTGAGCGGCTGGAGGAGGCTGGCGGGGCGACGGCCACGCAGCTGGAGATGAACAAGAAGCGGGAAGCAGAGTTCCCAGAAGATGCGGCGGGACCTGGAGGAGGCAACCCTGCAGCATGAGTCCACAGCAGCTGCCCTGCGGAAGAAGCATGCAGACAGTGTGGCAGAGCTGAGCGAGCAGATCGACAACCTGCAGCGTGTCAAGCAGAAGCTGGAGAAGGAGAAGAGCGAGATGAAGATGGAGGTGGATGACCTATCATCCAACATTGAATACCTCACCAAGAACAAGGTGGGCACTGGTCTGTTCGGGGCAGGTTCATCTCTTCTGTGAATGTCAGTGCGACTGGTTGCAGTGTGTTCAGCGCAGCCATGTCCATGGGATGTTGTCCTAGGTAGCTCTTCACCATGTTCAAGTTTGTTCGGGGCAGGTTCATCTCTTCTGTGAACGTCAGTGCGACTGGTTGCAGTGTGTTCAGTGCAGCCATGTCCATGGGATGTTGTTCTAGGTAGCTCTTCACCATGTCCAAGTCTCAAATCTGTATGTAAAAGAATGCAACAGAACAGAAGTGCAACTGTTCCTTGTTTATTAAATGAGTCGTCTCAGAATTACAGAATTACAGAATAGTAGGGGTTGGAAGGGACCTCTGTGGGTCATCTAGTCCAACCCTCCTGCCCAAGCAGGGTCACCTACAGCAGGCTGCACAGGACCTTGTCCAGGTAGGTCTTGAATATCTCCAGAGAAGGAGACTCCACAACCTCCCTGGGCAGCCTGGGCCAGGGCTCCGTCACCCTCAGAGGGAAGAAGTTCTTCCTCATGTTCAGACGGAACTTCCTGTGCCTCAGTTTGTGCCCATTGCCCCTTGTCCTGTCACTGGGCACCACTGGAAAGAGCTTGGCCCCATCCTCCTGACACCCACCCTTCAGATATTTATAAGCATTTATTAGGTCCCCTCACAGCCTTCTCTTCTTCAGGCTGAACAAGCCCAGCTCCCTCAGCCTCTCCTCGTAGGGGAGATGTTCCAGTCCCCTCATCATCCTTGTAGCCCTCTGCTGGACTCTCTCCAGTAGCTCTTCATCTTTCTTGAACTGGGGAGCCCAGAACTGGACAGAGTACTCCAGATGGGGCCTCACCAGGGCAGAGTAGAGGGGAAGGAGAACCTCCCTCGTCCTATGTAGCTATGGCAGTGCTTGCAGGATGCTTTACTTGTCCTAGTCAAGTTTGGAGGATCTGGGAAGACATTTCCTGGGAGACTGACTGCAGAGAGCTTCTGTTAGCTTAGCAGAGACACGAGAGCTCTGGCAGGCTCCTGCTCTCTGCCTTGTGTGCACATGGGATCAGCTGAGCTGGGCAGCGAGGTCCCAGGGTGACGCAGTCGCTGAGCCCCTCCTGGGGTAACGGTGCTCTTGGGGAAGAGCTGGATCTCACGTGGGCTTTGCTTGGTGTGTGCAGGCCAGTGCTGAGAAGCTGTGCCGCACCTATGAGGACCAGCTGAGCGAGGCCAAGTCCAAAGTGGACGAGCTGCAGCGACAACTGACCGACGTGAGCACGCAGCGGGGCAGGCTGCAGACCGAGAACGGTAGGTGGGGGCAGCTGCCCTGGGGCTGGTCTTGCACCGGGGCTTCAGAGTGGGGAGCCGTGGTTCAGCTGAGCAGACTGTCCTGCCTCTCCCATGGGCACAAAAAAATAGCAGGAGCTCCATCTGGAGTGGAGGGGAGTGGGATGTCTGCCTTGTGCCTCCACTCAGGCGTTGCAGAGGTGCCATACAGCTTGGCAAGGAAGAGGAGCTCTGTGGTGATGCTAGTTGTGCTGGGGGACGTGCTGTGATCTCAGGCGTCGGAAGGAGGGGTTTCCCAGCTGGCATGCTTTGCCTCTAGCTGCTTGCACCTCTGCCCACGGGCCCCAGCTTGCCTGGGTGGGGATATAACTGGGACTGCTGGAGGTCTCCGTGCAGCTGAAGGCCACAGGCTCTGGGGGAGTGCGAGCTAATGCACGTTGCAGTCCTTTGGCTCCAAAGGAGCTGTTTTGGCTCTGTTTGAACCCAGGGGAGCTTAGTCGGCTGCTGGAGGAGAAGGAGTCCTTCATCAACCAGCTCAGCCGTGGCAAGACCTCATTCACACAGAACATCGAGGAGCTCAAGAGGCAGCTGGAAGAAGAGACCAAGGTGAGGCTTCTAGGGCATGGCTGATCTGAGTGACCCAAATCTCGGGGAATGGGATGTGTGTCCCACTGTGACAGCGGCCCAGAGTCTTGGGCTGGGGAGGTGGGATGTACCCTGCACACAGGAGCCCCAAGGGCAGCTGCTAACCTGTGAAAACCTCCCAGTGCCCCCAGTCCCGGTGCCGTGGCCGGTGTCCTGGAGCCTGGGTCCAGCTGCTCCTCTCATGCGCTCTCCCTTCCTCAGAGCAAGAACGCCCTGGCCCATGCCCTGCAAGCCTCTCGGCACGACTGCGACCTGCTGCGGGAGCAGTACGAGGAGGAGGTGGAGGCCAAGAGTGAGCTCCAGAGGAACTTGTCCAAGGCCAATGCAGAAGTGGCCCAATGGAGAACGAAGTATGAGACGGATGCTATCCAGAGGACGGAGGAGCTGGAGGAAGCCAAGTGAGTCTCATGGCAGGAGCCTGCTCCTTGCAGGTGACAGGTTTCCATTCAAGGATGGGCCCTTCCCAGACCCCAGGGTGAGACTGCACCCACATGCCCGGACTGGAGGCTGTGTGGCTGCTGCCTCCCCTGCTCAGAGCAGTGGGGTGGGGTGGGCTGGGAGCGCTGAGCCTTTGCTGCCATCGGCAGGAAGAAGCTGGCCAGCCTGCTGCAGGAGGCAGAGGAGGCAGTGGAGGCTGCCCACGCCAAGTGCTCCTCGCTGGAGAAGACCAAGCACCGGCTGCAGACGGAGATAGAAGACCTCTCTGTGGACCTGGAGCGCGCCAACTCGGCTTGCGCTGCCCTGGACAAGAAGCAGCGCAACTTTGACAGGATCCTGGCAGAGTGGAAGCAGAAGTATGAGGAGACCCAGGCAGAGCTGGAGGCATCGCAGAAGGAGTCACGCAGCCTCAGCACAGAGCTCTTCAAGCTCAAGAATGCCTACGAGGAGTCCCTGGACAACCTGGAGACCCTCAAGAGGGAGAACAAGAACCTTCAGGGTAGGACGGGGCTGAAGTTCTCCCCTTGGACTCTCTGGCCAGGGGTCCTGCTCTCACAGTCAGCCTCTGGCTCCACTGCCCACAGCCATGTGGTGGGACTGGTGGGGTCCCTTGCAGGTGGGGAGCAGACCTTGCTGCTCAGCCAAGCCTGGCCCATTTCCTCCTTGGAGGATGCAGCAGCCCAGCCTGTGTCCTGCCCTCTCGATGGGGCACTTGGGGCAGACGGGCAGCGTCACTTGGCTCTCGTTTGTGAATGGTGCATGTTTTGCTGCTCCGAGTGCCATGGCTGTAGCATGACGCTGGCTTGGGGCTGCTGCTCGTAGGTGAGCAGCTCTCCGTGCGTTCTTCATGCTGTTCCCATGCCCTCTCCTTCACCCAGACTGCAGGGGAGCGCAGCAGGGCCCAGAAATGTCCCCAAGCACAACCAAGGGTCTCCAAGGGTCTGGGGGAACATCAGCTGAGCCTGGGCAGGGGGTTGGGGAGGTACCTGCGCAGAGCTGGCCCCACAGACTCATTCCTGACCAAATGCCCTTCCATCCCTGCCAGAGGAAATTGCTGATCTGACTGACCAGATCAGTCTGAGCGGCAAAACCATCCATGAGCTGGAGAAGCTGAAGAAAGCCCTGGAGAGCGAGAAGAGCGATATCCAGGCAGCTCTGGAGGAGGCTGAGGTGGGTCCTTGTTTCCCACTGATGCTTGCATGTGCCCGCTGCCCTCGAGAGCCGCTGGCCTGTGCTGCAGCTCTGGCTGGGTGCTGCTGGAGCAGGAGCCCGCACCGTGCGGGCAGGGTGACAGTCCCGAGCTGGGCTGGAGCCCATGGGGGCCGTGCAACCAAAGCAAGGCACTGGGGCGGCCCCACCTGCCCCGCTCCCCTCAGCGCTGGGCTTGGGGGCAAGGCAGGCTGGGGTGGGGGGCTGGGGAGATGCCCCCCGGGGCCACCTTCCCACTGCCGCTGTCTCTAGGGCGCCCTGGAGCACGAGGAGAGCAAGACGCTGCGCATCCAGCTGGAGCTGAACCAGATCAAGGCTGACGTGGACAGGAAGCTGGCAGAGAAGGACGAGGAGTTTGAGAACCTGAGGTGTGTGGGGAGAGGCGACAGGCTGGGCCGTCGTGGTGGGGCAGAGCTGCCACCATGGCCCTGGTGTGGCTGGGCCCGGGGGGGGGGGCCCGGGGGGGGGGCAGGGAGCAGCGGCCTCGTAGCCGAGCTCCTCGTTGAGGCCACATCCAGCCCACCCAAGGCACGTGGCCGGGGGCTGTCCCCGTCCCCACCCCCCCCGGGCGGCTGGGGGG